TTATCCATGAAGTATTCACTTGATTGCTCTCAACAACTCAAATTTGATCACATAATTGTTTTCTTTGATTTACACACTTCAATTATGCATATTCGAGAATTTTGCACAACAAATTTTGCACGAACTTGAGATAATCATCGAGAGAAACGTACACTTGGGTGATAGTATCGGACAGTCAACCCCACCGCAGGTTTACCACAACATTTTTGCTACCATACAAGTGAACATGCTGATTTGTCCCTAAGTAGAAACTTTTTCCGGGGAAATCTCCGCAATACCCACCTAAAAATATTTCGTTCCACCTTCGTCCATTCTCGCTCAACATCCAGCTTCGATGAACAGTAAGTCTCAATTATGCAGTCGAACTAAACAAACTAATCTACGAAATTTTTTCATCATTTCAGTCTCATCTTGTTACCATAAACAATTTAATCCTATTCAATGACGTGATGGCGTATTCAGAAGTGAATTCCTCCGCGCAGGTTTACACTCAGTAAGCCACCTAATGAACTTTAATTGATTGCAGTACCCAGTCAGCAATACCAATTCGCCCGTCATCGAGTCTTACCGATCCAGTGCTGCTACTCTCTCGACGCATTTATCGTCCCAAAAGGATCGGTGCTGCTCATTGGTTTCTAATCACAATTGATCTGATAGCGTTCAACTGACTCAACCGAACGACGTCACTATTCTGAATTCATACACTATCGACCATTACCATTCGCATATCACCACTGTTGATATGATACGCACTGATTGCGCATTTGAATAAGCAATTTTTTGTATTCATACAAAATGTACGTGCTGGTCGATGGTGACGATATTGGTAGCCAATACGAAAATAACTATGATCAGGTGATTAGCTTGATCAGTTCATTATCTCATTTGCATTTTCATGCATTCAAAGAGACAATTTATTCTCGGACTTAGTGATCGCTGTTGCAAATTACTTCTTTCTATCACAGTTGACTCAAATTGCATAGGTAAAGTTAAAGAAATTGAGTGTGTATCAATGGCAGCATTGTGTTTTTTCACCCATAATTTACATCTCACTGTTTGTTTTGCTGTTTCTGGTTTTCTAGTTATTCCATCAAGCATGTATTTGCTAAATTTGTAACGCAAAATGTTGTGGTTGGCCAGTGAAAAAGAAATACGCTTCCTTCGTGTTGAGCATGTCTTTTCGATTTCGAAATTCACCTGGAACTACTCATAAAGTTTAACTTTTGCTGGCTTATAGGATATGAATACTAGAATCTAGGCATTCTCGGATTGATATCACCCCATTTGTAAATCATTGATGAGGAACTAGTAACATCGCGCGATGACAGATCCAATGGTGATCAAAAGCCATCCGATAACCATTTGCTTCGGAGTTTGGATATGCAAAATGATCGAATCGAAGCTATCATTAGAGCTAATGAACACGGCTCATATCTTATTGATGTGAACATTCAACTGCTATTAACACATGGCGAATGCTCATTAATTCGGCAAACAAACAAGTTATGTTGTGTTGAGCAATATGCGAGAACGTCGCAAATAAGCTGAATTTGGCATACGATTACCCGATGATGACACTGAAATGAATTAACGGTTGAATAATGAGTTGTTTGTGTGCATTTATAGCTCTGATGTTCTACACCCTAAAATCCAAGCTTAACGGCTTATCATCGTTGGAGGCAATTTCGGATGTCACAAACAAACATCGCATTCAGGCAGTAATCCTGTCAACATCCTGCCTAATTCATATGTTTTCAAACAATGAAAGCGAATTTGTTTTCAGTCATGGAATAAAAGTTCCAAACTTTCAGGATTCGGAATCGTCCGAATATCTCACAAATGAGCACTACGCAACCGTGGAGGATACGCTCGGGAACAACTATGACCTACGTGACTACTATTTCCCAAAAGTTGAGGATCGTGATGGAGACGCAAAGATAGATCTTTTGAAACTTTTTCAGGTTAATTCCACTGTTAAGACGTCGAAATTCGTTCGAAATGAACTCTCATAGACAATTCTCGGCGGGGATTGCCATTACAATTCACAGTGTTTCAGTAGCCGCATTAAAATTTCAAATTGATCTTACAGATGGTCAATAGTTACAATAACTCTACAGACGATACGTTCGAATGGGATGACTTTGCTCAGTTCAATTTCACCACATTATTACGCTCATCAGAGGAGGATGTAAGCTTTGGTCACTTCTTTCCAATTGTTTTCTGATTTGGACNTAAGTGCTGCACTTTTATTTATACGTTGGTCATCATTTATTTATCTCTTCATTTACCGAATGCAACTTTGTCTTACTTCGTCGGCTATGACAGTGACTCACTAGGTGACACGCAATTTTAAACGACTCTAAAGATTTTAGCAGGGGCGAGTCAAGGGAAGCAAATCGGGGTGTGCATTTGACAGGTAAGCCGTAAAGTTGTAAACATGAAGCTCGTAAACATCAAACGTTCCCTCAACCACTGAACTGATTAGTCGAAGCTCAGTTTCGACAGTTTGGTCCCAAATAGATATATGGAATTGGTGGCAATGCAAGCAGCACACCACCAGAACTATGTGGCAAAACACAAACAGGATATATGTGTTCAAAATTGATTGAAAGTTCAGGAACACACAAAAGGACAACAGTCCTTTCACTAAGCTGTAAGAAGAAAACTTAAGAGAGTAATTATATTAGTGAAAATTCATTCATCTATGACATCATTACGCAACTTTCTATCGCTACACGGTAATTACTGCTATACTCTCAATGTTTGTTTTTTTTTTCCGTTGGACTTTTACTCCGACTAAGTTTATCCCCGATGGACTGATGGACACAAACTTTGTACCAAAAATGTTGCGTAGTTTATGTTGTTTCGGACTTTAATTTTTTTTGGACGTATGCAAGTTGATATTGTTGAGGAATGTTTGTTTATGTTTGGGCGATTCAAGCGATTAATTGCTTAGAAGAAACTGTCAATAGGCATAATAATCTTTTGCTAGCAGAACAGCTGCTGAACGAATGATCATTTTCGCAAAGAATAATAAACAATTATGTCTGGCGACGAGATTAGTGTCCGTAAATTATAAAATTGATTATAAAATTACATCTTAGAGAATACTCTTATCAAGCATTCAGATTTTCAGCTTTCTAATGATATGCACCAATTCATTCCATTAACATAATCC